TAATAACTGAGCACCTTTTGGTCCTTCTCCTACTCTCGTCATTTCTTATATAATCTATTAATCCATATCCTAGATTTCGTACCAACGTTCTTTGGTCAAGAATCCCTAGTATTTCCTTCACTGACTGACGAACAACTACGGAACCTCGACGTGGTTCTCGCCGTCAATCCCACTGGCGAAGACGGTATGGCCCTCACCACTTGAACTTCCCTTCTCTTCTTGAACGCAGAACATGTTCTACGAATGGTGAGGCTTTCAAAGGTACCTTTACAGGTGTCATCTTTGAGACAGCTCGCCGCCCTTCACTAGCTGGCGAAGATCCAGCAGCTATCGCACGACCTCCAAATGTGGAGCACCGAGCCAGAATTCATCATGGCGTGGTAGTGTACGAATATGACGTAGGCTACGGTACAGGTGAGCGAGCCCGAGCTACCCAGGGGGATAAACGAATAATAACTTCTTTATACATTAAGAATCTATTGTGTCGCCGAACAGCATATTACCGAACGAATGGAACACCATACGACTGATGAACAACGAAACAAAAGGCAATTTTTTTCTATGATCTAGCTCTTTGCGAGCTTTCATAACTTTATTTTCAGCTGTTCTGCAGCTCAACTCCGGTCCTCCAACAGAAAGGCCTCACCATCCTACCAGATTTCAACAAGGCAGCAATGGACCAGTCTACATAGGAGCGCATATAGAACCTACAGATCCCGAGATGGTCCACCAAGGTTTCAAAGGTGACTGTGCTGCTATGCATACGTGTTCATCTGATTAAAGATCTAGAAAATGGAACGTCCTGAGCTTTTCCCCTTTCTTAACACCTTTCTACGGCACTATCCCAAACTGATTTCTGTAATTTTCAGGAGTGATAAGTTCAATGACGGTGTCCGGAGAGCCTGTAGATTTTGGAGGTGTGACACGATCTCCTCATATGGTATCGCATGATTCTTGTAGGCATGCCCTTTGCCTGCACGGATCCCGCTGTCGAAACGCCAACAATCCAAAGGTACAAATTATCAAATAAGTCTTCCAGTCACTTAACATCAAATTTCAAGTAAACTACAGACACTGAAGTAAATTTCACTCGAGTAAATTGCTTGCTCTTCCTACCTACAGGGAGCACACGGTGTTGAAGAAAAAGTGAACACCTCGTAGAACCGTCGTTTTCATTGGCAAGGTGACTGAGTTCGCGGCTGCTATCGCATGCCTGTCTCTCCGCTCAAAGATGTGCATGGACTGGGCGACAAAGTAGTGATACTCCCGTCTCCATACTCCGCGCGCGCTGTCCCAAGGTTTGGGGTGAATATCATCAAGGACCCGCAGCGAAACAGGCTCTCAA